ACTAATCAACTACCAGTGTTGTATTTGATGGTGAAATAATAAGGCCATTCTCATTCAAGTTGGGGGAAAGAGTGCCCTTTGTTACCACTACTACTTAATGCTGTTCTAGGTATCCTAACCAGCACACAAGAGCAAGAAGAAATGAGACAAACTGAGGAAAGATGAAGACAAAATAATTATTTGTCAATGATATATGAGTATGACTTGAGCAAAGTCTAGATCAAGAATTCTACAAAATAAGAAAAAAGACTAAAATACAATCAGGTGAATGGAAAGGATAGCATGTTCCTGGATTACTGGGCTTAACAGGAGGAAAAATGTCAGTTCTGCCCACACTGATGCAGAAATTAACAAAATCATCAGCAACATGATAATCAAACTCATTAAGGAAATCTTTAAATCCAGATGCTGAAACACAGTAAGAGGCAAACAGATCCACAGAACAAAATGGGAATTGCAAAAACAGGAGGGCATGCATGTGCTCATAGTGTGTGCATGTATGTGCAGTCCATGCGTGCGGTGCGGGCATGGTATGTGTAGTGTGTGTGGTGCATTCAGTGCGTGCGTGGTACGTGCAGTGTGTGTGCGTGTGCTGTGCAATGCGTACGTGCAGTGCGTGTGTGCGTGTGGTGCGTCCACTGCCTGAGTGCGAGATGCGGGCATGTGTGTGGTACGTGCCTGTGGTGCATGTGAGAGAGGGTGTATGTGTAATGCAATGCTAAAAACAAAACATCACAAGCGAATGGAGAAAAGCTGACCCTGGCCAGTTACACCAGAAGGGCCAGCCACCGACCTTTAGAGGCTCCCCAGAGTCCAGCCCTGTGACTAGGCACACGGGGCAAAGGGTACAGGGAGGAGACGCATCACAGGCAACATGGACTCCATGTGGACCCACCTCAGGCACACGCATCTAAAACAATCTAGATCAAAGTTTTCTAGCAGAAGCATTAAAAAAGAAAAAAAGAAACAGGTGAAATTAAATTTAATGATATATTTTTATTTAACCCAATACATCCAAAGCATTATCATCTCAACAGGTAATCAATATAAAAAGTCATTCATTCTTTTTTCATATTTAGTTTTCAAAATCAGTTATATATTTTCCACTTGTCTGACATCTGAATTTGGATACAAAATTTTCATCAGAGACATTGGATTTGCAGGTCAATTTCATAATATTTATAGTTGAGAAAAGAGATCCACATGCCCAAGTTGTTCCAAACAACTTAAAAGTTTCTCAATAATTGGACCAATTATCGGTTTTTAAATTTTAATTCAAACCAACTAAAATTTAAAATTCATTTCCCAAGGCACACTAGCAACATTTCAAGTGCTGAAAACCCGCACGTGGCCAGTGGCTAACGAATTAGAGAACAGAAATCCAGAATCTTCCACTGCAACTCAAACCTCCAAGGTCTCACACTGACCACCACAGCTGCTAAAGACTCAAAGTCACCATGACCTTTAATACATCTGGAATCAAACCCAAATTCCTCCATCTGCTGGTTATGCAGTCATGGGCAGTGTTCTTATGCTCAGCAAGCTTCAGTTTTCTCATCTATAAAAAAGGGGTGATGGTGCCCATCTTGTGAAATTCTGAAGATTAAAGGCCTGATTCACAGAAGACACTATATGTTAGTTCTCTTCCCCTTATATCTATAGAGTACTTATGAAGTGTTTTCCAATTTACTGTTTTATTTGCTTCCAACAACAGAATGGTAGGACAAGTATCATTACCCCCATTTAAAGATGAGACAACATGGGGTGCCTGGGTGGCTCAATGGGTTAAGCCTCTGCCTTCAGCTCAGGTCATGATCTCTGGGTCCTGGAATTGAGCCCCGAATCGGGCTCTCTGCTCAGCAGGGAGCCTTCTTCCCCCTCCCTCTCTGCCTGCCTCTCTGCCTACTTGTGATCTCTGCCTGTCAAATAAATAAAATCTTTAAAAAAAAAAAAAAAGATGAGACAACAAAGTTCAGAGGAGTTAAGGGAACAACTCAAAGTCCTACGCTGGTGATGGTGCAGGAATTCTAACCCCTGTACATCTGCCTCGGGGTCCACTGCTTCTCCCACAGCCAGCACAGCGTTCCAGCCCCAGCTGTGCCTCAGTCTCCAGCTGCCTCCTCCTTACTAATCCAAGAGGAGGGTGGCGAGTCCTGGAGTATAGGGAACAGGACTCCTCCCAGGCAGCCTTCCCCTGCTTCAAGGAAGACACGGGCTTTCCTCTACCTCTTCCCTGTAGCACAGGAGCCTGCAGGGCCTGGCTATCTCCCTGTCTCAGTGCATAGTCAGGCCCCCACTGACATCCTTCTGCAGAGTTACAGAGAACAGAAGGAACCAACCACTCCTCAAAGGGGCAAAAGAAAAGGACCCAAGGGAAGAGTTAGGCTCATCTTCTATCAAAACAAATGCAGATGATCTTACCGTTCTCTGGACTTACTGAGAAGGGAGACTCCATCAGCCACCACCCCAAAGCCTCTGATGGGATTCTTCAATGCCACACAGCAGCGAGAATGAATGATGGACAACTACACACAGCAACATGGTGAATCACAAGGGGAATGCTAAGCAAAAGCAGCCTAATCCCCTAAAGGAAGCAGATGGGGTAATTCCATTTATGTGAAATTCTAAAACGTTCAAACTAATTTATGCTCAAAGATTTGCAGGAGAGGGGTTATCCTTGGTTGGGGAGTGTGGGGTAGATGGGGGAGTCAAGGGGCTTCTGGGGGACTGGTGCTGTTCTGTTTCTGGTCCCGAAAGCTGACATTGAAAACATGGCTATGTTTGTGAAAATTCGTCATGTGCACTTTCCTGTATAGTTATGCTGCAAGAAAACTTTATACTAACTTTCTGGAGTGATGGAAATCTTCAATAAATCGATCCAAGTAGTCGTTATATGGTTATAGATATATATGTTAAATGTCATTGACCTGTTTGCTAAGGTTGTATTTTACTGTTTACAAGTGAAACCATAGGAAATTACACCCCAAAAAGAGTCTCAGAAACATCATATAATTGTCCCTCCTAAATTTAAACAACTCTAAACTCGCTAGCTTAGCCTAAAGGTCTTATTTTAAAAATTTAGTTTATAAATATTAAATACCTATTTGAAATTTAAGAAGGTGTTATGAAATCAAATGACACTCTAGTATATAACTATATTGCTCTAACATGTTTCTTAAATATATTTATTATCTTAAGAGTTGGTGCCACACACCTTTCAAGGATACCTTGCTTGGGGCACCTGGGTGGTATAGTCAGTTAAGCGTCTGACTCTTGGATTCAGCTCAGGTCATGATCTCATGGGTCATGGAATCAAATCCTGTGACCTGCTACCTGCTCAGTGCAGAGTCTGCTTGAGATTCTTTCCCCTTCCACCCCTCCCACTTGTGCACGCTCTCTCTCCCAAATAAATAACGCTTTTAAAAAACAACAACAACAAAGAGGGGCACCTGGGTGGCTCAGTGGGTTAAGCCTCTGCCTTCAGATCAGGTCATGATCTCAGGGTCCTGGGATCAAGCCCTGCATCGGGCTCTCTGCTCAGCAGGGAGCCTGCTTCCCCCTCTCTCTGCCTGCCTCTCTGCCTCCTTGTGATCTCTCTCTGTCAAGTAAATAAAATCTTAAAAAAAATAAACAAAAAACAGACAAGGATACCTTAAGATAATATTTTACTTCCAAGCCTTTTCCCTTCCCAATTGGAAGTATGATAAAAGACTTAGCTCAGGCAAAAATTCTCACAGATTTCAAGCTTGTAAGGTTAAAATCAGTCAGCCTTTAAATCTAAGCATTTGCCTTTTAGAAAACATTGTATTAAATGTAGACATTGAAAACATTAGAATATTGGTAACGGGTTTCCAAAATAATGTAAGAAAACTCCCCCAAGAGATCGATGGGGCAATTATTGGTCCCTTAATTTGTCTATAAATCTCAATGTGCCAAACAAATACTATATTTTAGCACTTGAGTGTTTATTAATATAAAATCTTAGCAAGGTAAATTAAATTCCCTAAAAAATTTTTATCAACTCAGAAACACTATTTTTTAGGCTATTAAATGCCCTTAACTTCTTTAAGTAAACAGCCCCAGTTCAGCCTTGCTGAGATCTGCTAAGGCCTAGAGGGTTGACTTTTATTCTGAGGTTCAGCCTCCCAAGGCCAACTACTGAGAATATCTGTGAAACAAGAATACTTATTTCAATATAGTCAATAATAGTAACAACTTTATATGGTCACCATACTTATTGTGGCGAACATTTCATAATGTATGTCATTGTCAAATCACTACATTGTATACCTGAAATTAATGTAATATTATATGTCAATTATATTTCAATTAAACATTTTTAAAAAGTAAAAAACTACTTATTTCATATCATAAAATTCCCATTGGTCCCCAGAGGCATCTAATGTACTTTAGAATATTAACAACAACAAATTTCACCAAACCAATTAAACAATGGCACTTTAATAAAGTGGCACTTGTCTTATGAGAAATGAAGAACTTTTTGAACATGAACCTAAATTCCAGTGTCCTGAGGGAGGTGGTTAAAAACTATGGAAAAGAGGAACATACCTTTGCCTCACAAAGGGATTTCCCAGGGAGAGTGTCCTGAAGAGGCACAACACTGATCTGAAAGGGACCATGATGACCTAAAACAGCCATGGCCAGTATCATTTTCAAACCAGGCCATACCCTCTGATAGTCCGACTTTCACATTGTCCACATCCTCTCAATGCAGCTTGTTAATAAATAACCTAAGTTAAAACAAGTGACAAAGGTATGCCAATACTTGTTGGGATGACAAGAGAAAAAACCTTTTCTCTCTTAGTAATACACATGTTAAGTGATATAACTAACTCTTGGGCTTATTTTTTAATCCTCAGAATAACATTCTTGAGCAAAGACAATTTTTGGATAAACTATGCTTCTGATCTACCTCCTAATTATACTTCAGTAGATTTACACATAATCAAAGGCCAGGTCCTTCACACAGAGGGTCTTACCTGTGAGAAGTTCAGCCCATTCAGTGGATGGCACTGCTCTTCCACATTTTCCACAGCCCCAGTCTGCTTCCTCAGCCGCTCAGCCTCCTGGGCAAGGTACAGGTCTAAGACAGGCACCCCACGGGACTTAATGTCCACTTCCGTCAGGGAGTTGACCATAAGCATCACCCAGATGGGCCTCTTCCGCTCCCAGTTCCCCGCAATGGCATTGAAGAGGTAGTCGGCATAGAGGCCTTTGCCACGCTGGTCCGGCGTCATCCACAAGGGCATCATGAGCTTGACATACTCTAGGTGTCGCTTGAGGCGGCAGTAGATGTCCCGGGGGAGCACGTCCTGGAGGTTCTCTCCCTGTGGCAGCATCTGACAACTAGTGAGGGCCGAGATTGTGTAGGGGTCAGTGAGGTCCAGCTCGAAGTACACAATGCTGCTCTGCTGAAAAGCTTCTTTGGAGTTGTCCGGGATGAAGTCCCAAACCCGAGTGTATGGAACATGGATCGTGCCAAAGAAGTAAGATGGCGGGTCTCGCTTTATGGTCCACAAGAAGGAATTCAATTCACTTTGCTGAAAGGAAGAGAAAGGACATCAAGGCATTATATGGAGGGTCAGAAACCTGACAGGAGAAAATGAAGTGGACAGACAAGCCACACTTCAGGAGAAAGATGATTAAAGTACGATTTAGACTTCTGAGTCCAGGTAGATTCACCTGACAGCAGCAGGAGTCCTTGAGGCAGCATTTTCCCCTTTTCCACCGAAATGCTGATTGAAGTTAAAAAAGTAATAGCAGCCCTTGATTTTGCCCTAGTAATGAACTGGGCCTCAGGCAAAGCAGGGACTCTCAAGGGACTCCCAATGACACACCTGATAGAGACGAGGGGACACCTCTGGAGACCACTGGTACTTCCCAGGCAGGCAGGCCGATGGTGTCTGCATCTTCAGATCTCAAATCCAACATTCCCAGAAGCAGTGGCTCTCAAGGGCTGCACATTGTCTCCCAACAGCTACAGGCTGAGCAGCGGTACCCATTCACCCGAGGGCAAGCCACAGTGCCCTGAGGGTCTCAGTTTCAACAGCAGACATTTAGGAAGTGTCTGTTTATTAAGAGACCCCGTACAAAGACGTGCACAAGGCAGCCCTCCAGGACTTCAAGTCTCAAGGTCAGATAGACTCGTGAGGTGAACCATGCATCAAGCAGCCCAAAAATGTGATAAACCAGGTTTACAGAAAAGACATTTTTTTACAAAAAAAAAAAGCTTTAATTTGAGCAGCCCTTTAAGTAATATGCTTTCGTGGATTGCAGAGTTTCAGCTTACAATCAGCTCTCATTATTGTCATAGTTACGTTCTATAAAGTCAGCACAAACACTGAATTACCAAATAATGAACCACTGCTCCTAGGAGAAATACAAGGGTTAGGTTCCTAAAAGCCTCTGGTTATAACATTTTCATTGACAGAGCAATGCTTCTGTTGAAAAGCACCGTACTGAGACGCGTGGATGGCTCAGTTGGTTAAGCTGCTGCCTTCGGCTCAGGTCATGATCCCAGGGTTCTGGAATCGAGTCCTGCATCGGGCTCCTTGCTCAGTGCGGAGCCTGCTTCTCTGCCTCTGCCTCCGCGTGCCACTCTCCCTGCTGTGCTCTCTCTCTCTCTCTCTCTCTCTGACAAATAAATAAAATCTTAAAAAAAAAACAAAAAAGAAAGAAAAGCTCATATTGTATACATGTGGCTAATTCATGAACACTGAACTCATGGCCAACAGCGCTACAACTCATGCCTGAACAAAGCTCATCCAACCCAACCATTTTCTCCCTAAGGCACGTCACAGCCTCCTTGCGCTTAGGAACACTAGACGGTACCTGGGCTCGGTTATTTTAAACAGTGAGATCACCCACAAGAAGCACAAAAATGCAAAAAACATAGTATTCAGCAGACCACTGAAAGAACACTTGTTCACCTGTTACTTGTTGAGAGCTGAAACAAAGCGCGGCATCGACTTATTTGACCCCAGCTGGGAGCGTGTGCATCGGGGGCCTCAAATTTTTGCAGTTCTGGAAATGGCTACACATGACCATGACCGTGCCACAAGCACTGGGGTTACAAATCAATTTTAGCAGGCAGGCCAATTCACAAATGGTTTCGAAATCTACAAAGAATGAGGATCAGCTGTATTTGCATTTGTGTGTTAATGGTTTCAGTAAGAGGCAGCTACCTATTTTCCAGTGAAGAGTCACACAGAATCTCAAAATCTAAGACAAAAGCTGGCTGTCGCAGGGGCCTCATTCTCACAGCCTTTAACCTTTTCTTCTCCTGCCCTCTGGCCACCCTCCACAAAAGGACCTTCTGACCACTCAGACGAGGACAGAGGACGCAAGGGCTGGGCATGAGGTAACAGTGGGGGACGGTCGGCTGCAAACAGGCTCACAGCTCTGGATAAACACTATTGCCTAAGGAGCCTGAGCCAGTCATGGCCACATGGGAGCAGGCCTAGCGCTCCAGAACAGGTTTTTCCAAAAGCAACTAAAAATCTTCAGTTTAAATAAAAGATTCCAGTTGAAGGGGTGATTTGGTGGCTCAGTTGATGAAGCATCTGCCTTCAGCTCAGATCATGATCTTGGGGTCCTGGGACGGAATCCCGCATTCAGCTCCCTGCTCAGCAGGAAGTGTGCTTCTCCCTCTACTGCTCCCCCTGGATTCTGATCTTCCCCCACCATAAATAAATAAAACGTTTAAAAAAAGAAAAAAGATTCTCTCTCTTTCTGCCCCACCCAGCTTCCACACTCACTCAAAAAAAAAAAAAAAAAATCCAGTTGGAATATGTTGCCCCCATTTTCTTAAATGCCATCCAAGCCAAACAGAACATATCTCACTAGCCCTAGCCCCCAGCCTGTGGCCTTGTTTGTTTGTTTGTTTGTTTAAGTATTTAAGTTACAGTTCTGCTCACACACACACGTTTTCAAGACTGTACTAATTGGTAACAAGAGTCTAAATTCTGCTTGTCTCAGCTACCTCCCTGAGATTTTTAAAAGCCACTTCATTTCTCTGTACCTCAGAGTCCCCATCTTTATTTATTTTTAAAAATATTTTATTTATTTGACAGAGAAAATCACAACTAGGCAGAGAGGCAGGCAAAGAGAGAGGAGGAAGCAGGCTCCCTGCTGAGCAGAGAGCCTGATGTGGGTCTCGATCCCAGGATCCCGGGATCATGACCTGAGCCGAAGGCAGAGGCTTTAACCCACTGAGCCACCCAGGCGCCCTTTTTTCCTTTCTTTTTTTTTTTTAAACATAGATTCCCCATCTTTAAAAGTTAGATAATATCTGCCACAGGTTATGGGAATAAACAAACTAGGCAGGTAATTGTTAAATGGATGAAAAATGAAAGAAAGAATGTATTTTTTAAACTTATTAATGACTGAATTGATATTAAGAGATGAATCAAATCCAGGGTCTCTAGCCAGCCCTCTGGCATCCTTTTAAGGAGTAATGACTGTCCTCGGGGTTATTTAAATACATCAAAAAGCCAAACTGAAACTCTATCTAAAACAATGGTTGCCAAGGCTAATTAAGCAGTCAAATGCCTCATTGTTAAAATTAAATCGAGCTGGTAGAAAAACACTGGTTAACCAGATGCTACTCAAAAGCTGAGACTGTCAGTTACACTTTGGTTCATTTAAAATGGGTCACAAAATGAGTACCTGTAAAGGAAACTCATTTGGTCGAGGTGGTCTTTGAGGCAGAGGTTGAGTTTGGTTTATTCATTTTATGGGGAAGAGTTGCTCACTGAAGGGCCCTGGGGAGTGCTATGACCGGGCGTCGCAGACCAATGGACAGGATCTGCTCACACACATTCCACATAGTCCACCAAAGGACTTCTCCACAGCCTCCAACTGGGAGACACGGCAAAGAGCTAAAATGCTATTATTAAACCCATGGGCACCTAACTTGTCATCATCTACAAGGAGACTGGGATATCAGACTAATATATTCCCAGGAAAATGCAACCCCTACTGCAGGGTGGTGGTCAGGGGTTGGGGGATGGGCAGAGCGGGAGGTGTGGTTTCCTTGCACTTGGATTTGGGTTCGTTTTTCCCCAATACTCTTAATCACCCTAAACTCTCATCCTATCTCAAAATATCTATACTTCTCTTTAGTTTTTTAATATTTATTTATTTATTTATTTCAGAGACAGAGAGAGAGCGAGAACAAGCAGGGAAAGGGGCAGAGGAGAGGAAGAAGCAGACTCCCCACCAAGCAGGGAGCCCGATAAGAGACTTGATCCCAGGACCCCAGGATCATGACCTGAGCCAAAGACAGAGGCTTAACCCACTGAGCCCCCCAGGCTCACCTTTGCACTTCCTTTAAGCAGAATCTATTCAACTGTATGTATCCATTTTTATTTAATTACTTATTTCTTCCTTTTCAATTAGTATGAGTCTAGCAATGGAGTTGTTTTACAATCTTTTTGCTGAAAACTGCTCATATTAAAAAAAAAAAAAACACAAAAAACAAAACTCACGTCCTGGCATCCAGCCACGTAATAACAGTAACGACGCTAAGAACAGCCAGCTGTTCTGAAATGTTCACCAGGGACCATTCAAGCATTGCACACAAATGCTCCTACTACATTTGTTCAATTTGCATTTATTCCACAACTATTTACTGGGTGTCAGGGACTGTTGTAGGCACAAGATACTGGGGTATTCTAGGGCACTAGAAGTATAAGCAAATAAAAAACAGACCCCTGCCTCAGGTATGTCAGTGATATCTGTTGTAAAGAATATGAAAGCAGGAAAGGGAACAGGGAATACTGGTGAAGGAGAGATTCAGCCTTAAATAAGGTGATCAGAATCACGGAATGTCTGGTAGGAGATTTAGGCCTTGCTGTGAAGGCAGGTGAAAGGGCAAGCCAGGGGGATATCTGAAAAAATATTCCATCCAGGAGGAAGGAACAGCAGTGCAAAGGCCCCGAGGCAGAAAGGTTCCAGCAAGGATGCCATCCTAACCACTGCAGGATGAGTGAAGAGGAAAGCAGGAAGAAAGGTCAGAGAGGTGAGCATGGCCAGGCCACACTGGAGATACAGCAGGTTTCTGTGAGAAGAGCAACACAAGCCAACCAAATGCGTGAACAGGACTGCTCTGACGGCCGGCCTTCAGTAGACTATGGAGGGATGAGGACAGATGCAAGAAAGTCAGGAAGTTACCAAAAGAATCCAAGAGAGAAAACAGAGTTGTAGTGACAGAATAGAGATGTGATGAGGTTCTGGGTGTATTTTAGAAGCTAGAGCTAATAGGACTTGCTGATGAATCGGTTAATTAAAAGGAGGAAGAAGTTGCCAACGACTGAGAGAAAGGAGGGAGGGGGTGGAACAGGAGCAGAGGGGAAGGTCAGAAGTCTGGCTTGGGCCCTGCTGAGTGGAGATGTCAAGTAAACAACCAAGTGGGGAAGTTGAGCTGCAGGAGTCCGGACTTTGGGAGAGGCCTGGGCCACAGATAAACATGAGGAATGGCCACCATTTAGATGTTATTTAAAGTCAAGGGACTGAATAAGATTTCCAAGGGACTATGTATCAATTAGGAAAGAAAAGGTCTAGAAATGATCTCACCTTGCAAAGTCAAGGGAAAGAAGAGCAACCAGCAAAAGAGAATGAGAGAAGTGACAGTCGAGGTCGCTGAGAAAATCGAAAGAGTAGGAAGCCAAGTGAAGACAGCGCTTCAAGGAGGAGAACTTGAGCATGGGGCTCAGTGTGGCTAGTGCCACACAAGTATTTGAGAACTGGCCTCTGGATGGAGCAACACTGAGGACACTGGGGACCGAAGCAAAAAGAGTTTTGGTGGCATGCTGGGGATGAAAGCCTGCCAGGCACCCCCCATTCAGGACAGAATCAGAAGAAAGGCAGTTAAGAAGATAATTAAGACGCTGGCCATTTCCACATGCGGAAATTGAGACCTTGAGAGGATTATGTTGTGATCCAAGGTCCCAGAACTGCTGAGTGGGTTCAAAGCCAGGCAGGCTGGCTCCTGAATCCTGGGTTGTTGGTTTTTTTTAAGATTTTATTTATTTATTTGACAGAGAGAGATCACAAGTAGGCAGAGAGGCAGAGAGAGAGAGAGAGAGAGAAAGAGGGAAGCAGGCCCCCTGCTGAACAGAGAGCCTGATATGGGACTCGATCCCAGGACTCCGGGATCATGACCTGAGCCGAAGGCAGCGGCTTAACCCACTGAGCCACGCAGGCGCCCTGAATCCTGGGTTTAAAACACCACAAGATGCCACCTTAAGACGGAACACACTATACTCCTGACTCAGCGTCCTCTTTCCATGGATACGCTAGTAGGCATGCGGCTGCTCAGGAGCGCTTCCTGACTCTGAAGAAAAGGCTCTGTCCAGGTCCCCTTCCCTTAGCCCCATGACCCACCCACCCCCCAAATAAATCCACACCACCACTCTTTTTTAAGATTTTATTTATTTATTTATTTATTTATTTATTTATTTGAGAGAAAGAAAATGAACCCAGGGTGGTAGAGGGGAGGCAGAGGGACAGAGGGAAAGAGAGAACCTCAAGCCAGCTCTGCGCTGAGCATGAAACCTGACAGGGCTCAATTTCACAACCCCGAGATCATGACTTGAGCTAAACTCAAGAGTCGGACACTTAACTGACTAAGCTACCCAAGCGCCCCCACACCATTTTTAAATCTGCAAATTGCCACCTTTTCCCACTCCGACTTTTCAAAATAACACAATTTGGGGAGGTTTCCCACTTTTTTAAGCCAAGGGTCTTAAAGAGTTTTTAAAGAAGTGTTCCTCATTTTGGAGAGCTAGCTTCTTCAATAAATGGAGCTCAGCCCATCCCTTGCAGCACCAGCAGTCCCTTCCTGGGGCCACTGACAGTGCCCTCTCAGGCAGGGGTGTTTTGGGGAGAGCATCAACTGGAAGAAAGTCTTCAGGGCTTCTGATCTGGGACCTCTCCCTTTGCCCTGCCCACCAGCAAGCCCCCAGGCCGCTGCATTGGTTCTAGGGGTGCAACTGCCCCCGCTGCCCTTATACTCAGGGGTGGGGCTGTTTTGTCTCCACAAAAGAAAAAGAACAAAATTGTTCTACCACCCCATTTCAGTGTAACTGTGGCTACCACATGCTACTAGCTGAAGCCACGTGTTTTAATATTTCACTGAAGGATGGGCACCTGGGTGGCTTGGTGGGTTAAGCATCTGCCTTCGACTCAGGTCATGATCCTGGGGTCCTGGAATCGAGTCCTGTATTGGGCTCCTTGCTTAGCAGGACCCGGCTTCTCCCTCTGCCTGCCGCTCCCCCTGCTTGTGCTCTCTCCCTCTCTCTCTGTCAAATAGATTAAAAAAAAAAAAAACTTAAAAAAAAACCATTATGACTGATTAGAATAAAAACTTAATAGCATAAACACATGTCCTTCTGGACCTTGCTGCAACTGGCCTGGAAGAAAAAAGACACAGCCATGGATGACAAGCGCAAGAAGCTACAAGCTCTGTCCGCTGAGTCACTGGCGATTTTAAACCATGTATCTGTAATCCATGCAATGAAACAAAGGAGCTCAATGGCAACTTGTGCAATGTGGGCTAAGTCCCTTAGCAGCTGCACCCCTGAGCTCCTCCCATCCCAGCCTCCTGGGGCCTGTGATAATGGCACTTTTCCAAAAGTACTCTTCGGCAGACCAATTAGAATGATACCAAAGTGAGTTGGCTTTCGTTAACAGTCTTCATTCAACAAATATTTATTGAGCATCTACTGTGCCCAAGCACTCTTCTAAGCACTGGGGACGCAGCAAGCCAAACAAACAAAAATTCCTACCCTTACGAAGATTACATGGTGTGTGGGGCAGGGGGGAAAGTGAGTAGGAGAGCAGCAGCAAACAAATTTTTATCAGTTAAGTGCTCCGGAAAAAAATAAAGCAGGAAAGGCAGATAGGAGTGCAGGTGGGTCAGGGGTTGACATAACCTTTAACAGATAATCAGGAAAGGTCTCTTTCAAAGAGTTTGAGCAAAGACCAGATGGAAGTATAGGAGCAAGCATGTGGATATTTGCGGGAAGAAACAGCACAGGTGAAAGAACAGAGACAGGAATAATAAAGAACACTCACTGAGTTCTGTTTGAGTGTAGATAAGGAAGAGACGACCTGCGTGGTGCTCAGCGCAAAGTCTGCAGTATCTGCAGACAGATCAGCTTAGAAGACCTCTCTGTAATGATTAACGAAAGTGGACACCAAACCAGCTCTCAAACCGCAGAATGCTACCCAGTAAGCTGCTGCACTGGACTGGAGGCTGGATTCCCGAGCTTTGCTCTACAATCTCAAGACCCGAGCCTGGTGGGGGGGGCACCCGCCCGCAGCGACCCCCACAGAGCAGGTCATACAGTCCTGCCGCTGACTGATCTGACCTTGGCAGGGGATAAGACAGTTTGCCCACGGAAAAGAACAGAGATTTCCCAAATGTGGTCCAGGGACCTGTGGCTGTCCCCAAGACCCCTCCAAGCAGTGTGCAAGGTCAGAACTATTTCAACAATAATGCTAAGATATTTTCCTCTCATGCTCTCATTCTCTCACAAGCGTATACAGACTTTTCTAGAGGCTACATGTGTGGGATAATATCACTGCTCTGAAGATTAAGGGCGTGTGTCCTTACTAAAACTTCCATTAACCCACATGCACAAAGGCTCTTTGGAGTCCTCAGCACTTTTTTAGATCGTAGAGGGGTCCTGGGACCAAAAAAGTTTGAGAACTGCGAGAGTAAAAAGGCCATGGAGAGGGGTTCAAGAATCAAGAGAAACAGAGACTTTACCAAGACTCACTCGTCAGACTATAATTACGAGTGGATTTGCAGCAGTGAAAAACGTTTGCTTTCACAGGAAAGGATGGACTGCTTTGTAGACCCAGGGCGCAGCTGTCCTATGGTGTTTGAAACTCTCCCTGCTGCGGACTTCCTCTCCAGCCACTGCGCCTCCCGCCGTCCTAGAGGGAGGGCCTCCGCAAGTCCGCAGCCCAGGACGCGTCAGGGAACTCAGTGTGACTTCCCGCTCAGCCCCATGAGCCAGAAAGGCTCAATTAGGTCTCCCTCTCCTTTGGTGTGGTTAGGACGATGAATAAAATTACCAAGGTGACAGGGCCCACGATGCTCCGCAGGTGTCACCGAAGGTGGGCCGACCTAAGGTCCGAGGGTCTAGTATCACCCTCCCCAACTCCAGAGATCCGGAGATCAGACCCACCGAAACAAACACAACCTTCACGGAGCTCGAAAGAACTGGAGAACGACAGAAAATTCGAGCCTAAGAAAACTAATCGGAAGAAGGAAACATTCATCTCGAAAGGGGGGCCAGCCTCGGAGACGCTAGACCTGTCCGATTGCCGCTCGGCTTCTGCTCTTGGAGGTCTGGGTGAACCCAGGTAGGTCACCGGGACTCCCTCGCCCGGGTTCCCCTCACCTGCAAAAGCGCCGATGCGAATATCTAGGGAAGCGCCTGTGCGTGAACCAGAGGCTGACAGATGCGGTTACTTCGCGAATGCGCTGTGACCTGGGGCGCAAAGGTCCCTCTCTGAGCCTCAGTTACCCCAGTCTCCCACATCGGTAAAACAAGGGGACTGACTTCAGCTCCCCCAAATCCCTTCTAACTCGGGTACTGAATATATGACGGTTAAGTCAAGCAGCTGCAGGGCGCTTTTACTATCTCGATAAGCGCAGGAGAAAGTAAACGCCGGGGAAGAGAGGGAAGAACAAACTTCCAAAGTCAATGTGCCACAGTCCCTGCACCTCTCGGTCTTCGAAGACTCCTCCGCCCGACGTCCCCGAAAGCCCGCGAAGCAGACGGGAGAGACCCAGGAGACCCCGCTGGGACTCTCTTTGGTTGCCTTGCCCAATGGCGAGGGCCCGGGACAGGGTCTTATGCGGCCCGGGGGCTTGCGCCCCCGCCAGAAAGGGGAACCCAGAAAGAAGGCGCGGCCTGTGGAGGTGGCTCGGGATCCGAGCTCGCGGTTCTTCGCGGGCCTGCGGAGGTAACGCGGAGAATCCGCCTCGCCCGCTCGAGACGCGCGCCTTACCTGGGGCTTGAGCTCGCAGTTGGCGGAGGCAGGCGCGCCGCGCCGCGGGTCTGCGCCCGTGGGCAGGAGGTAGAGGGTCGGCAGCAGGAACCAGCTCCAGGGACTCATCCTCCCCAGCGCGGCTCCGAGGCCCGGGACGCGGGGGGAAGGAGTAGGGCAGCAGGGACCGCGCAGCCCGGCTAGCCGGCGGCCGCGGAGCTGCGGACTAGCAGGGCGCCCGCCATAGCGCGCGGGGCTCGGGGGACCGGGAGCGCCGGCCCGCAGCCCCGCGCCTGGCGTCAGCTCCCCCTGCAGTTCGCTCGGCCGCGGGCGGGCGGGGCTGGGGCGAGCAGGACCCCGGCAGCCACGTGGGGCGGGGCCCTGACCTCCCATCCCCACTCCTCCCCGCTGCCCTTCAGCCCCGCGCGGAGGCGGCCGCGGGAGTCGCCGCCCCGCTGCTCCCGCCCAAACCCGTCCCGGGCCACCGGGTGAGGCGGCCGGAGGGGAAAAGTGGAGTTGCAGCACCGTCTCCCAGCCTCACGCCGAAATCCTATCAGCTCCTACCCCCGCGTCTGTATTTAGGCTTACAGCTCTGAGGGTGGCCCCGGGTTGAAGGAGACAGTCCAAAGAAACAAACGATAGGCTGTTTTTAAAGGAAAGCTCATTTAAACAAAGGAAATGGCACAGAAGTTTTGTCTGTAAGAGAGAGGAATAGTCAGTGTGTGCATATACGCTTAAAAAGTCCGGAACCGCAAAAGCCGGCCCTCCATTAAGTGTCCTCTTAAGGGGTTTGGGGTAATAATATTAAGGATGTGAACACCAAACTCGGATTACTTCACAAATTAGATGAGAACACTGATGGAAAACATCTTGTTTGATGCACACAGGAGGCCTGCAAAATGTTATTTGCTCCCTTTCTGCCCCAACATTTTCAAGGGCCTTTCCACAGCACTGATCCTTCGGGGGGAAAAAAAATTATCAAAGCACCTAGCGGTCCCCAGCCTCTGCCCTCTCCTACCCCAGGCCTGAGGGCACTTTACCGGCCCTTCTGTACAGCCCAGACTTACACGGGATCGCCTTCTGAGGGATGTAGCGGGGGTTCTTAATTCCAAGTCGCTCCATTTTGAGACTCGGATAGAAACTGGAAGCAAAGGCGGGGAGGGGTTGGGGGGTTTTGGAGGGAGGCTCAGTGGCCCAGATTTACACACGATGGGACGAGTGTTCTGAACCGCAGGTGCCCATCTACAATACCCCAGTATTGTAAAACCCCTGGCTTTAAAAAGCCAAGCTCTTCGAGCTTTCGTTCCACAGGCGTTTTAAGTTTCAGGTGTTTTTGTGAAATCGCTAAATCTTTCCTGTTTTAAGTTTCAACGAGGATTTGTTTTCTGTAGTTGACTCGCAGGTCTTCAAACGACCCCCTTTTAGCCACGCAGCAAACCTCGGAAAGTACAGTCTGTCCTGGTTTTCAGATTACCAGCACTGCCACCTACTGGCAAAAATAGTCTCTCTGGTTGTGAGATGAAAGCGTCAAGAACTGTTATTTCATACTCTTTCCCCAGGTCTCCACCCATCAACTGGGGCTAGAGGGAGCAGGGGGAGAGAAAACGTGTGGCAAAATGAGACTGAGTTTGTTAATTTTCTCCTGTTTGTCTCTTCCCTCTTCCCTGATTCCTGCTTTTTATAATGTCCTTTTTTTTTTTTGGCTCTTCTTTTTCTAGCTTAGGGAGCAATGTAGGTCCTTAACTTTAAACCTTTCTTTCCTAATATAAGCATGTTAAAGCTATAAATTTCCCTCTAACCACTGCTTTAGCTGCATTGGCCAGATTTTTGAAAAACTGTAATTTGATTATCATTCAGTTTGGAAAACTTTCTTTTTTTAGATTTTATTTATTTATTTATTTATTTGAGAAAGAGTTTGAGGGAGAGAGCGCAGGCAGAGGGAGCAGCAGAGGGAGAGAGAGAAGCAGACTTCCTACTGAGCAGGGAGCCTGTTTGGGGGGGGGGGGGTTCAGTCTCAGGACCTCTAAGATCATGACCTGAGCCAAAGGCAGACACTTAACCAACTGAGCCTCAAACACCCATGGAATACTTTCTAATCTCCCTTGTGACTTTTTTTTTTCTTTGACCACGGGTAATTTAAAAGTATGTTGCTTTATTTTCAAATTATAGCTTTTTCCTGATACCTTGTTACTGATTTCTGATCTAACTCCACTGTAATCTGAGAACATACCTTGTATGATTGAGATTACTTTATATTAATTGGGACTTGTTTATGGCCCAGGATATGGTCATACACTGAATTTGAAAATGTCCAGTGTATGAACAATTTTGTTTGGTTCTAATATTGGGGGGCGGTGGAGCTTCCTATTTAGTCAGATCCATTATTAAGTGAAATTTATTCTGTAAGATACTCAATGTCCATACATTCAATAGAATCACATCTACTTTATATACACTGTCTATACAGATGTTCCTGAGTCCCTATGAGTTCACAGTGAGGCCCAGACCTGGTGACAGGCAGGTGGGCATGACCAGGTCCCCACCTATCTTCTAGGCTGATTGGCCTTCCTGGCTTCCCCTTGGTGGTTAGGAAGGAGATGCTAAACGCCCCCTAGCCTCCTTGCTGCCTATCCACGGTGTTTCTGTGTCCTTTCGATTCCTCACTTCAGTGTTGTTCTTGCATACCATTGCCAGCGATCTGGATGTTCCTAAACCTTTCCCCGCTTCTGTTTCTCCTTCATATATAGTTGATATGTCCTTCCTATGTCCAACTAGTTGTAAGTTCTTTTTATGCCCCTACCAATGGATTCTTGAATTTACACAAATCTGTGAGGCTTGTTCCCTTCACAACAGTCACCTGAGGAAACTATATGCTAGAGGCCTGTTCGTTTTTTCCCAAAAATCAGATCTTCCCTCAGAAACAAAGTTTTCAGGATACACAGAGGATTTTCTGTGGCTTCCACCACACTTCTGTGCCTTTGTCTGGCCTTGCCCGGCCAGCCTGCTTTGACTGACCTGCAGATCACTTAACACACTGCACACTTCCCAAGGTGCTCAGGACAGCCCAGGTGTGGAGGGTAGGCCCCTAGGTCCTGCCTCCTGGTATTCACACCCTTGTTGAATTGCCTCCCTTTGAGTGTGAGCAGGACCTATGACTTGCTTCTCACCCATGAATGGTGACAAGGATGATGGGATATACATGATTCTTGGATGAGCTTACACGAGCACGTGGCACCAGTCTTGCTGGAATCTCTCCATTGCCATCTTTGATGAAGCAAGCTGTCATGAGTCCTACAGCCGTGAGGAAATGAATTCTGCCAGCAACCTGAGGGAGCTCAGGAGTGGATCCTTCCCCCAAGTAGAACCTCTGGTGAGAGCCCCATCCTGGGCAGCACCAGGCCTGCATGCAGCCTTGTGTTACCCTACACAGACGACCCAGTTAAGCCACACCTGAACTCCTGACCCAGGGAGGCTGTGAGTCACTAAATGGGTGCTGTTCTAACCCACTGGGTTCATGATTAGTTACACAGCAACAGAAAACTCATACACCAGGTGAAATGGAGGGCCAGGAATTCCCAGGTGTTCCAGCCGGGAGTTGTAGCATCAGTGTGTATGCTCAAAGGGAGTCACTGAAGACCCACTTCCGGCATGTCCAGGCCTACGGGCTCTAGGCATTCCCAAAGGGCCACCAGAGTTCTGCCAGTCTCTTGGTCACCCAGTATTGGCATCAGAATTTGTAAGTGGGAAAGGGTAGTAATCATCCCACAGGTGCTTTCGCTTAGCAAGTACGCTGTGTGTACCTAGATCCTGGGAAGGAGAAAACCTCCCCTGGCACAGGGAGTGGTCTACCTTTATCTGTGAAGTCTTGGTGTTGCTACAAGATGGCAATATCCACAGCCAGGCCATGGTGGTTTCCTACTGAATGTTGTATATTGGACGTAAACAATTTCACAGTATATCAACAACTGACAAGGCCACTCTGAGACTGTGGTGGAGGAAGACAAAAACCAGATGACTTCATTATCATGTCTCCACACAGACAAGACATGAACCTTGTCCAAACCACAAAAAGGAACAGACAGCCCCTGACCTGGCTAATGAGTAACTGCTGCTTCTCCCCCAAGCTGGGCTTCAGCCTTTATGATTTCCCCCCCACCTTATAGATAAGATGTTTTAAAATACTGTTCTGGGCTGAATTGTGTCCCCCGAAAAATCAAATGTTGAAACCCATACCCCGGTACCTTAGAATGTGATTGTATTTGAAGACAGGGTCTTTAAAGAAGTGATGAAAATGAGATGGTGACTGTAGGCTCAAATCCAGCCTGACGGCTGTCCTTGTAAAGGGAGAAAATTTGGGCACACAGCAGAGAACCAGGGGCATGCAGGCCCAGAGGGACAGCTGTGTGGGGACACAGCAAGAAGGCAGCCATCTGCCAGCCAGGAAAGAGGCCTCAGGAGAAAACACACGGGCTGACACCTTGATTTTGAACTTCTGGCCTTCAGACCTGTGAGAAAATCTATTGTTTAAGCAACCAAGTCTGTGGTATTTGTTATGGGAACCTGAGCAAGCTACTACAGATGTTCAGTCAGAATTACACCTACTTCCTCAGAACACCCAATCGAGAGCTAAGCCCTGATTCCTTGAACCTTCCTCCCAAGTCACCTAAAAGCAAAACAAAACAAAACAAAACAAACAAACAAAAAAAAACAAATTCTGTAACAAGTCCTTCCCTCACCCTCTTACCGAGATGCCCCAGTTTCCCAAGGTACAAGCTTTTCCTCTCTCCAAAGAGCAGTAAGTCTAACTATTCAACTTCAGGTGTGTCCCTGGTGGTCTTTGGCTAACAGGCACTGATAACTGTTTGTCTACTTGGGGCTTCAGCCAGTCCCTAAGCCTTCCCTTTTGCTCCCGCTGGTCTTACATCAGAACATGTGTGGGGAGTTCTCCCCACACGGACACATTTTTACTCTCCTCCCTGCTCCTCCTCTCCTGCCTCTCCCCTGCGCATAGGCCACGGGGGCAAAGCTGCACCTGAGGTGACGGTATCTCTCTCCTGGGAGCCTGGGAGTTGGTGCCTGTATGACTGATTCCTGACTGAAAGGGCTGAACAGTATGTTGGGATGAACTGAGGCCTCTCAGGAGAGCACGGGAGTTAGAGGTCTGTTCCTGTCAGCTGGCTTCTGGCTTCCGGCTTCTGGCTGCCTGCGGGGAACATGCAAGCAGAGGGAAAGGGCTGTGCAACAACTGTTTTTTTCAGAGACGGAGGAAAGGAGAAGAAAC